AAAAACTATAATATCAATGCCCGCAAGCAAATATTTGGGGGTAATGATTGAGGGTCGTTTAAAATTTAAGACCCACCTGGAGTATGCAACAAAGAAAGCATCGCATTTAGAGGCATGCTTATCTAGAATGATGCCAAATATCGGCGGTCCTAGTAGGAAGGCTTTGCTTAATAGAGTGGTCAGCTTAGTCTTACTCTATGGTGGCCAATTTGGGCTGAGGCAATTAGATTAAAATATTATGCAAAAATACTTACATACCTGTATCACCTAAGTGCACTAAGGACTATTCGTGGATCCGAAGAATACCTGATGAAGCATCCTTCGTTATAGGCGGACTGATTCTAGTAGATGTCCTGACAAAAGAGACCGCCACAAAATTATTAAATAAATAAAAAAAGTATATAAACCGGAAATAAATCGCAGAGCAAGAGAGATAGACATCTGGAAAAAGCGTTGGAATCGGAACCAGAGAAGTTACAAGCATTGCGGAAGCCTCAATAACAGCAGCCAAGCAATGGCTAAATGCAAAGGCAGAACACAAGACGGAAAAGGTTGTGCTTCGAGTAGGAGATAGCGTTATAGTGTTTAAACCGTATATGAAGTACCTTGGCGTCCTTATAAATCATCGTATCTGCTTCCGTTACCACCTAGAGTATGCTAACCAAAAACCTGCGGAGACAGCAGCCGCTCTTTCTCGGTTAATGGCAAAGATCGGCGGGCCAAGACTGCTGACAAGGCGAATCTTACCTAGTGGTAAGATGTATACTCCTATGCGGGACAACGGCCTGGAGTAACGCCTTAAATGCCCTTCGTATACTCGGGGTATTACGGCCATGCATGGTATTTCTGCTCTTCGAGTCTTTTCCGCGTTTAGAAGAATATCAGCATGCAGACACAAAGCATGCAAAGCGTGACCAACTGCACGCTGCACGAGGCATGGACGAAAATGCACTGAGGCAACGTAGCATATTCCAGTGGCGGACAGGATGGGAGAAAGCGTCGAATGGTAGGTGGACTTATGGGCTTATCACGAACATCAGCGCCTGGATGGAACGACAACACGGAGAGGTTGATATCTTTCTCCCACAAATTCTGAGCTGGCACGGATGCTTTAAGGTTTATCTCTCCCGCTTTCGTCATGAAGTGCAACCATATTGCGACCACTGCAGACAAGTCGCTATTGAAGATGCCGAACGCGTATTTTTCGCATGCCCCCGATTTAGCGCGCTGAGGGGCATACTTATGGCGTTTTCGTTCCCACAAAAACATTTGTCTTCTCATTGCCTTCTTCTTAGTATTTGTGCGTAGGGGGCAAATAGAAAGTAACCTTTTTTGGTAGACGAAAACGCCATTAATCAAACGTTAGGAATAAAGGCTTCTCCAGAAAATCTGGTGACACTAATGTTGAAGAATGAAGAAGAATGGAAAGAGATATGCACCATTGCTGCCCAGGTGATGCAGCAGTTGCGTACCAGTGAGCAGATGAGACGAACGACAGTAACCAGAAGGAAGTAATACCAACGCGACAGTTTCGATATTAACAACGAGCCTATGAAGCCCGTCACATGAAGTGAGAAGTTACGGCACGCAACATAAAGGGGGCGTTTTCATCGAATCTCTCTCCGTTAAGTAATGCCTAACGATGCTTCCGCATTCCCAACAGATTTATCCCGGTTTTGTTGGGCCACTTGGGGGGAACATATATTATTCTTTTGTTCTCGCTACGCCCCTGAAACCCGAAATATACTGCAGGGTATCAACGACTATACGTTGAAATCAACAGTTAACTAACATGGACGTAACGTAACTCTCAAATCTGACCAATCTAAAACCGGTTAAATAACGTAGCGAGCCAATTGCCCAACCAGCTGCCGTATACCAACATTTTACATCGCTAATTTTGATCGCCAAAAATCTCCAATAGAATAGCAGACGCCCAAAAATACGCAACATCCCATTGCATGTCTTCCACACTACCAGATTTGATTGATTACGCATCGCATTGTATACTTTTAGGACCTAATGCTTTTCATTTAGAGAACTTTAGTGACGAAAATTTAGCGTAGCGATTATCAGAATTCCACTGCTGCGCTCACAGACAGCGGCGCGGGGAGAGTTGTTTGTGGATAGGTTTTATTACGCAGGTGTAGCCGTCAGGCTGCATGTCGATATAGTAGTACTCATGACAGTTCCCTCTTCTGCGGAAGATTTACCACAGACAATGGAACGATGAGCTGTGCGAGCTCAAAAACTATAAAGACATAGTGCGACGCCAGACGCGCTTGGTGTCATCACAGGCATACCGCCTCTGGCCACACTCATAGAGAAAGAGGCTTTCTGGAGCGCCAAGAGGCTACCGAACCTAGGTATCTTGAAAAAAGGGGACTTAAGGGGTCATTTGGGTGTCCTAAAACCATTCATAAATGATCCCGTTATAAAACTCACAGACTCAATGCTGCCGAAGCTGACCTTTACAAAGCCCTACAAGGTAATAATACCTGAAAGGGATACCTGTAAAACGATAATCGCCATGTTCGGCGAGAGAACTCAAGTCTGGTTGACTGATGGTTCGAAACTTGAGGGTGGGAACACTGGAGCCGGCATATTTGGACCTACATTTCAAAAAAGCATCCCGATGGGCTTATACCCTACCATATTCCGGGCGGAAATTTTTGCAAATGAAGTCCATGTCCATGCATGTCTTCGTAGAAGGACAATGGGGCAACAATAAACATCATGTCGGATAGCCAGGCAGCGTTAAGAGCACTTGACTCTTGTAAAACGGTGTCAAAGGTGGTAGACAGTTGCAAAATGGTACTGGTCAGACTAGGAGCCAGTAACATAGTAACCCTATGGTGGGTTCCGGGTCATGAGGGATTCGATGGCAACGAAAGAGCTGACACTCTAGCGATAATCGGTGCTCAATGGAGCCTGATCGGCCCTCAGCCTTTCTTTGGTCCATCGAAAGGATACACAGCAGAGCTCCTAAGGGGATGGGAGGACTTGCAAGTTACAACCCAATGGCGCTCAACAAAGGGTAATAGGCAGTCCAAAAGATTCATAACTCCCTCTCGATAGAACAACAATTATTATAAGAATGTACGTATATATTCACATTCACACATCCACATAATTGCCTATTCACATTTACCGCAAGGTCTGCACACGTGGCTCTTCAAACACCCACGGCCCAAGCGGTATATATGTATGTATATAGCTATAGCTGACTAAAAACACTCGTGGCTGCTCTGGCATACAAAAATTGCAGCAACTGTTTGCTGTTATTGGTGTTAAAGTGATTTTTTTATTGTTGTTGTTTATCCAGTAAGCCACTGTTAAGTTGCTATTCTGCATAGTTGCAGTTGCAGTTTTGTTTGTTTAGTATGCTAGCAGCGCATGTGATTTGCATTCCATAAGTGTAAATACAACAATCAAACGGCAGCAATGTGCACGCGTGCGCAGATTTACGAATGTGAGTGCTGCAAATGGCAATATCGTTACAATTGCATATGCAGTTCAAGCAGAGACTCGTGTCGATGTAAGATCGCAAAAGCAACGCGCCGGTTATGGAATATTGCAAAGCGACGCGAGCAGCTGCATTTGCAGCCACAAATGGCCAACGAGTGCGACCAACAACAGACGGCTGTGACTGATAATCTACGCGCTTGTGCCAAAGAGCGCTTACGTTGTTATTGTTTTCGAGTTTTTAGCGTGTGCTAAAGTCAGCGCCTCATTGGCAAGCAACCCACTTTTCTGCCAAGCATGCCAGGCAACAATGTTTCGTTGGTGCGCAGACAACGCTGAAGAAGTAACCAAAACCAAACGTACGGCGACGCAGGTAGAAAAGGGTATAGGCACAACTGGAAGATGTATGGTAGGAAGGGTAGCGCGGCCTTTGCGAAATACACAAAGGAGTCCATGGTAATCAAGAATAATAAAAGACACAACGAGCTGGCGCGCGCGAATGATGGAGGCTAGCGCCCAACGAGTCGCGCCACAAGGAGATGAGAACCTTCGAAACGGGCAATCAGGCAACGAAGCCACCAGCTAAAGTCAGACAAGCCGGCCAGCAGCACGAACTTGCAATGATCCATAAAGCGTTAAAAAATGCGATGACTATTCCACAATTATCGGCGCGCCACATCGAGCCGCTCATAAGACACAGCTAGTGTTGGGCAAGCAAACAAACATAGAAGGAAGCTTTCGACTACTGCGCAGGGGGTTAGGCGGAAAGAAGACATGGCGCACGAGGCACACAATACCGGCAGTAGCAAGCAGCACAAGCCAAGAAAGCAAAAACTCGAAGCTACACAACAACATACACAACCAAGACCAAAGCAACGAACAAATCAGCAATAAGAGGCCAACAGCAGAAAAGGAAAAAAAGACAAGCAATAAAGCAGAAAATCTTAAGTGAGGTAAGTGAGGATAAAGCGCGGTCGCACACACACTCCAAATGAAATGAAACACAAACAGCTCGTTATGGATGGCAGGCATGTGCGCCACTGCCACTGCCCCGCACCAACCGCCCATTGGAACAATCAACGTCGAGCGATTAACAACAACAGGCAACAACAAACGACAAGACTACGCCGCTGCGCACCACTTAAGAGACCCCAATCAGGCAGTCATGCTGGCATCAGTCATTCAAGCAGCAGGCAAACAACAACCGCGAACGGACAGACACACCCGTTGGCGGGTACGTGTTTGGTTGATTGCTTGGCACGTTGCGCGGTCGCATAGGGGCCGCCGTTGGCATGCAGCGGGGCAGCTAGCGGATTAGACTGGTAGAGAGGCAAGAGCAGCGGCAGGCTGGCAAGCCGTCGTGAGAAATCGACTACACTCGACTTTCCCACGGTATAACAATCACAACATAAGTTGACGACAAAAGCGACGAAGAGCCGGAGATGGAGACGGAGACGCGCGCGTTGACTCGTTCCACATTAATGTAGCTGCCAGCTAAGCCACCACCACCATCACCACAGCGAGCAATAATAATAACAACAGCAGCACTAACAGCCAGCGATGTGCCTTGACGTTGCACAAATGTGCGGACGGACGGACGGACGGGCGATTGTATGCTTGAATAGTTGTATAGGGGAATTTGTTGTGTGCAAGCAACGGAATGCGAACGGGCGAGGGGCGGTTGGCTGGCGTGGTTGATTGTGTGTGCGACCGGATGAGTGTGCAAGCAGCCGAACGGAGAAGAGCATGCGAGTCTTGGAAGACGTTAAGCGACGTCAGTTGAGTAGTGGATACTTCAACTGCTTACTTAGTGTAAAACACAAAGCGGGTAGACGATAACAACGGCAATGACGGCAGGGGGTAGCGAAGACATGAGTCTACGGGTATTTTCTCATTTACTGAGTACGTCGACGTCATAGTGGTAGTGATGGTGATTGTTGTTGTCCGACTCTCCGATAAGCTCGAACATGGCTAATGAGCTGCTCACTCAGCGCTGAGGCTATAAAAGGCCAAGCGCATTGGCGTTGGTAAAGCATTCATAGCAAAGTCGTTGAGCCAAGCGGACACGCGCACTCAAACGAACATTTTGGATTACAAGCTCGTAGCAAACTTAAGAGCGGAACAAGAAGAAGGAGAAGCAGACAACTGAATAGTTAGCCGGCTATTTAATACAACCAACCAACGATCTCAAAGCAATGGTACTAGAGATGGAGATGTCCAAGACCTATCAGTACCGCAAAGTGATGAAACCGATGTTGGAACGCAAACGGCGTGCACGCATCAACAAATGTTTAGACGAGCTGAAGGACATTATGGTGGAGTGTCTGACACAGGAAGGCGAGCATATCACACGACTCGAGAAGGCCGACATACTCGAGCTGACAGTGGAGCACATGAAAAAGTTGCGCGCACAGAAGCAGCTGCGGCTGGGACCTGGCGGCAGTGGGCTTGGAGTTACTGCTGGCGCTGGCGCCGTACAAGATCCCAAATTATCGATTACGGAGAGCTTTCGCGCCGGCTATGTGCATGCAGCAAATGAGGTGTCAAAGACGCTAGCGGCCTTGCCCGGCGTCAATGTGGATTTGGGTACACAGCTAATGAGCCAATTAGGTCATCGTTTGAACTATTTACAAGTGGTGGTGCCAGGCATGCCGTTGGCGACTAGTGTGCCACAACCGCAACACTTTATTCCCGGCGCAGCAACACAGGCCGTTGGTGCCGCGGCGGCGGCGGCGGCAGTGGCAGCCGCACAGTTCTATGGTTTAAGTAGTTGCAGTGAACGCAGTGCGACATCCAGCCCCGTTGTTATTACGCCGCCACCTTCGGAGTATGGCAGCAGTGAAAGTGGTAGCTCCAGTCCAGCACCCAGCGAGTCATCGTACGGAGCGGTGTGGCGCCCATGGTGAGCATGAGCGCGAGCAAACAAGCAAGCAAAAGCAGAAAAGCTGATCTTCAAGCAAGAGGATCTTTAATGGGAATCGATTTCATGAATGCACACAGCTTTGTATGCAGCGTCGCCGTAGCCCGAGCATCTATTAATGCAGCTGATGGTAGCCAGAACTGCGCGCTAGATGGCGCTTGGGTAGCCTATGAGTTGAATAGGGGCGATTGCGTTGCAGCAAACCGGGGAAGAAGTACAGAGGCAGGGTGTCTGAGTTGGCAGCAGGCTGGACAACGTCGCTGAGGTCGGTGATACTTGCCGCCTGCGTGGTTGAACAAAATGGTTAGCACGCTTGCTGATGGTACAACAAGGGCTTTCTAAAGCCAATGACCAGCCACGCAAAGTATTTTAAGCACAAAAAAATATAAAAAATTTTTAAATAACTTCCTAAGCGCAGGGAAAATGAATTTATTTAGAGATAAGCAACAATTGAAAACAATTAAAATTTTCAAAAAAAAGAAATATAATGAAAATTATTAAAACATAAAACGTAAAGCTTTTTAATTAACTCTGCTTTTCTACTCGTCATCATCATCATCCCAAACGCTGATCTTTTCATAGGTCATTTTGCTTCATATCACTTCTTGTTCAAGAAGGTCTTGATCTCACATAAACACCGCCGCCGCTGTCGCGCTCTGACGTCAGCAACTACGTCAATGCGCATCACGCGCCACAACACAAGCTGACGTCTGACTCTCATTAATTTTTGTTTGCACATCATATAATTCGAAAATATTCCCACACTACAAGCCAGCGAGACAGCCCAAGCGCTTGAATTTCGAAATTTCACAATTAGCGTACAATGTCCGGTGGCACGTCAAAAAAGAAAAAAATAAATAAATAAAAACTATGCCAAACCGTAATCTACAAAACGCACACAAAAACGAACCCTTGTTCGGCTAAAGCGCTGCCTATAGATTTAGTATCAACTGTGTAGCTACATATGTATGTAGGTATGCTTATTTGTTGCTATGCGCGCGCGCGTTTTGAGTCATAGCTTGCGCCAACCCATGCCAATAGAAACCAAACCAAGCCAAGTTTTTTGAGGGCGTACAAGCGCGCGCGGTGTATGAGCGCGGCGCGTTGATCGCGATAATTCGCGCTCAGCTTGTGGATTACATGCATATGTATTAGTAAAAAGTAGCAGTGAAAAGTCTAGTTGGCGATAAACTAGCTTGTAATAGCAAACCGCAAATAGCTCAACAACAACAACAATAATAACAATAAAGGCAACAAAAATAAACGAAGTCACAAGCTCAACAAGTATAATAAAAACGCTAATAATAATAACCACATTGCGATACAAAGCAAAGCAAAGCAAAGCAGAAAAAAAAATTAACCAACTCGAATGGCAGTTAACGCGCCGCACACCGCATGCCGCAAGCGGAAGCGTGAGCCATTCATTGAAAAATTTTCCCACACTTTTGTGCGGTCGCGCTTAATGTGCGCGCCGCTCCACGTCGACGACTTAATGACTTTCCAAGAACACACAAATGCGACGATAAACGCGCTTGTGGCGGCTTGGCTTATCGTTGTGCATTTATATGTACATACATACATACATACAAACGAAATAAATGTGTGTGTGTGTTTTTGTGTAGTTCAAGTTGTTGGCACAAGCTTCTTGGTAGACACGTGGGGCATATGGGGGGGGTATGCCCGCGTGGTTGATCTAGTGCGCGTCGCGGCGTTCGGTGGTGGTCCAGCAAATGCGCGTTTATCTTTCGTGTGTTTGTGAGTATGTATGTATGTTTTGAATACAGCTGAGGATAAAAAATAAAATCGTTGCAGTATTCTTAAATTACATACATTTGAAAATCACTTTATTTGCTTGTTGGTTTTTTCTTTATAAATGGTTAAACGATTTTGGTTTTGGTAAATAAAAACACATATATTTTTCCGCGGAACAGGAAATGTTTTATCAACAGTAGGGGGCGTCCCAATTTGTGTGTGTGTGTTTTTTTTAGGTATTCACTGTTTTTTATTTTTATTTATACAGATGTGTAAATAAGTA